CCCTGTCTAGGGCTCTAGACACAATATGGTTTATGTCAAGTCATTCGTTAGTCTGGTTGTTTGATGAGAAATATAGTGGGTATAGAATAGAATCACCCCCCTTTAAAATAATCACATTTTGTTTGTAATGCACATTTGGAGTTTACACCAGGAAAACAAAGACTGACACTGAACAAGGCAAACGCAGAGGTATATATACAAGGGCTAACAAGGGGGTGAAACCAATGAATCATCATGACAATGAACAAGGTAGAACAGGAAACAGGAACTAAACACAGGAAGTGAAGACAGACACACTGGGGGCAGAGAAACACTTCAACATAAAATCCTTGAATACAAGACAGAGGAACTCAGACTGGGATCATGACATATGCCCCGCCCCCTCAAAGAAGTGGCTTCCAGACACTCCAAAACAACAAAAGTTCAAGTCCAGGAGGGAGGCGGAGCAGAGGTGGGTCAGGGGGAGGGATGGTGGAAGAGGGCCTGGAGACAGAGGTAGACCAGGGAGCCAGGGTGGAGCTGGCAGAGCAGAGCAGGCGGAACACAAGACCACCAGGGCAGAGTAGAAGGGACAAAAGATCCCCACTGTGGAGCAGATGACCACCAGGGTGGAGCTGATGGAGCTGAGGACCACTTCACTGGAGCTAATGGTGCAGGGGACCACCGAGAAGGCTCAGGCTGAACCGGATCCCACCACAGTGGATCTGAAGGCCACCAAGGTGGAGCAGACAGAACTGCAATAGAGAGCACAGAGAAGTTAGAAACGGTCCTTGTAGCAGAAACTGGGCATTCAGAGAGTTTAGGGATGACTTTCGTGGTCGTGTCAGGTCAGTCTAAGAGTTCAGAAACAACCTCCATGGCTGTGATAGGACTGACAACGGGTTCAGAGATGGCCTCCTTGGACATGACAGGCTAAGCAGAGAGTTCAGGGACATCCTCCTTGGCTGTGACAGGACAGACAGGGAGCACAAGGGCGACTTCTGTGGTTGAGACAGGACAGGCAGGGAGGTCATGGGCTAGGGCCAACACAGGACTGAGCTTTTGGGCTGGAGCAGCCTCTGGAGCAGACTCATGGACTGGAGCGGTCATGGACTGGAGTGGGCTCTGGAGCGGACTCATGGGCTGGAGCGGGCTCCGGAGCGGACTTATGGGCTGGAGCGGGCTCCGGAGCGGACTCATGGACTGGAGCGGTCATGGACTGGAGTGGGCTCTGGAGCGGACTCATGGGCTGGAGCGGGCTCCGGAGCGGACTTATGGGCTGGAGCGGGCTCCGGAGCGGACTCATGGACTGGAGCGGTCATGGACTGGAGTGGGCTCTGGAGCGGACTCATGGATTGGAGCGGACATGGACTGGAGTGGGCTCATGGACTAGAGTGGGCTCCGGAGTGGACTCATGGACTGGAGTGGTCATGGACTGGAGTGGGCTCATGGACTAGAGAGGGCTCTGGAGCGGACTCATGGACTGGAGCGGTCATGGACTGGAGTGGGCTCTGGAGCAGACTCATGGACTGGAGCATGGATTGGAGTGGGCTCATGGACTGGAGCGGGCTCTGGAGAGGACTCGGACTCATGGACTGTAGCGGTCTCCGGAGTGGACTCATGGACTGGAGCGGGCTCTGGAGAGGACTCATGGACTGGAGCAAAATCATGGACTGTAGCGGGCTCCGGAGCGGACTCATGGACTGGAGCGGGCTCTGGAGCGGACTCATGGACTGGAGCGGAGACGGACGCTGCCGCCTCAGAAGTGTGTATAGGCCAGACACACAAAATGGCGACCACCATTACTGTGTAAGAAATTATATTCTGCCTCGACCCAACTTCCACTCCAAATTGTGTATTAAACTATGCTCCTTTCTCTACAAAGAGCTTAATTATCATATAGATAGTTCTTTCCCACTGAGAGAATGGACACAATGCAAGTGACAAAACTCCATTTGGGTTTATCTGTGAGTGTGATGCTTTGAAAAAAACAAGCATTGTGTAGAGCACCCCAGAATAACTATGAATCGTGTGAAATTAATTTAACTAATCTTCACAATCATTTTACTAGGGTAATAGTGTCAGACAAGAGAACATGTATTACAACAACTCTAAATCACTTCTCCATTTTTATTGATAATAACCAGACATTCTGTCCAGTTAATGATACTTCATTTTGTATGACCCCTGAATCAACCTGGTCTATAGGAAATTATCATTTTCCATATGTAAACACCACCCAACAGGCAATGTCAGTAAAACCAGAGGAACAATTGGGCTTTGTGGAAGAAATTCCTGAATTTGATTTTGAGTTACCAAAACTGGATGATATGCTGATGTCATTAATGCAAAGGAAAGATAACCACATTGTTAAAGCTCAACAGGGTCTTGATGAGAAGGATAAGGCTTTAACTAAACAAATGCATGATGGAGATTTAGTCATTGCATACTCTGGTTTGATTTGGGATGTAACTTTTAAAACTGCCGTTTGTGTTTGTATCTTTCTAATTATGTGCCAATGCATGATGTTATGTTGTATGTGTTCTATGGTGAAACGTCAAATTGCAGATAGTTCAATGATCAATATTGAGCGCTCCCGTTGGTTGTGATGGTTCTTGATTACCTCTTCCAAACCCTAGAAACATTTTCCAAATTTAAACAAACCCTGTGATAATTTTGCTCAAATGAAACGGAGTTGTAACCAGTGTGCATGAGGTGTATACCCAAAGACGGGTAAGATTCTCCTTTGGCCAGAGGTGGGCGACCTAAGGCAGGGCTACACCTCCACTGGGCACCTGCCCTGGAAGGGAGGTGTAATCTGTGTAAGGGAGTGGATGTGATGCTTCTTTTGGGCCAAGAGCATCAAAGAGGGGACTGTAAGAAATTATAGTCTGCCTCGACCCAGCTTCCACTCCAAATTGTGTATTAAACTATGCTCCTTTCTCTACAAAGAGCTTAATTATCATATAGATAGTTCTTTCCGATCTTAATCATATGTAAATAGTACCTCCGGAGCGATAATTTGTCACTTATAGCGTGGGAGATGCAGCAGGTCGTCAAGAACCATCTGCTGACCAAAAGGGTACATGAAATAACTGCTATGGATTCTGTTTAATCTTATCACCTTAACATTTGGTTGTTCCCACTTGAGTCTACCGAAGATGTGGGAACGGAAGGCTATCACTTTCATTGTCATCCGCAATTTACATTTAAAACGAAACTTAATTTACATGTTGAGCGGGAAGATGAACGTAATACTGTATAAAATGATTGAGCTTAGGATGTTCGGGGTTCAGTCTGACTCCGTTGAACCCAAGGTACTACATGTACTTTGTCACTACTATTCTGTAATAAAAGTTATTCTTCATCAAGATCTTCGACGTCTTCACTTTTTCTTACAACTGGAAGGGCAGCGAAGGGTGGCAGAACCTCTGAGATCGCCGGGCTTGGATGCCAACGACCACCCAAGGACCTTGATGACAGACAATGGCCCTCAACTAGTCTCTGTGGAGTTTGCCAGTTACATCCAAAGCAAAGGGATCACACACATGCAAACAGCTTACTATCATCCAGTCAAATGGGGGCATAGAGAGATTTAATCGGTCGCTAAAGAGAGGTCACTTGGCTCAAGGCTGCTCTTTCAATGAGGCCTTGTTGTATCTCATTGTATTTCTTCAGATACAATGCGAAGAAAAAGGCCCGAATTCCCAGAATCTTCCTGCTGGACTGGGTGCGGGTTCAGCGGCCACACAAGAAAAACAAGCTCCACACTTTATGGTCACAGCCACAGCAGCCACAAAAGCCATTAGATCCAGTTACATTCCACCTATTTAATGGTTCCCGTTGGCTTAGGAAAGAACTGTGCCCTTCTGGTGTGGGTCACACCCAGGACACTTATGCTCCCCTGCTTTCTGTTGAGTTCTTCGTGCCCTCTGCCCCCAGCACAGCATCCGGTGACAATCCGGCCACCATCTGCAGCAGGGAAGACTTACCAGACTTCGGCCTGCACGCTTTCAGGATTACTTAACATCTTTTCACACTTATCTTAAAGTACTGTGTTCATTACATTAATGAGACAGAATGAATGGCGGTTACTTTAAGGGTTTGGAATGGAAAATGACGTTGACACTTGAATGTTTTCATGCAGTTCAATGATGTGAAAGAAGTTGATGAGAACAATAAAAAGTAAAGTAAGCTCAAGTATGTCATCTTTACAGACAGAACAGTTAATGCATTAAAAGCTGTACACCTTTCACATTCCAGGTCTGATTTGTCCCAAAAAGTTAGCAAATTTTTTTTTCAATTAAAACTATGTTGTACCTGATCAGCAACTTCTCAATAATGAGTGAATGTGCAAAAATGTTAAAAGTTTTGAATGTTACTGTGTTTTACTGTTATTACTACATTTACCTACTTTTTATTAATTGAGAAATTCTTTGAAATTTCAAATTTTACAAGAACTACAGCAAAACCGCTGTAATGCTGTGATTTAGTTTAATTGATTTCCTTTAAACTTATAAATCATGCTGCTCAAAAACATTCTGAATTTATGAAAATTGTTCTGACAAAACAACATAAATATTACTCTGGAATGTTTTCAAACAAAATATATTTATTTTACGTGCATAAACTTTCACATCCAGATGAAAAAAAAAAGATCAACAGCCTGAATCTGCAATGCTTCATCAATGGTATCAGCAGAGTACAATTTTGAACTCTTTTTCTTTGTTCAAATTTAGACTTTTTGGTCTTTGAGCTTTTTCTCTGCACCCATTTGTGGGCACTAGACAAAAATTATTTATGTCAGTTACATCTTTTGTCTTGTCTTCCTAAAAGTGTGTGTCCCACAGTCCTATTATTGCATGATTTGGGGCTGAATAAATTATAAATTTAATTAAAAAAAAAAAAAGAAGAAGAAGAAGGTCAAGCACCATCTTTTACTGACCCTGCTGATTGAAAGTGTCAAATATGCGTCTTCTGTTTCTTGTATTGTATATGTGGTTCTTGTTCGTGTAATGCAGGTGAGCCGATCTCTGTAAGCGTGGACTCAGAATCTGTCCATCTGGCCCTCTCGCCGATGTCTCCTGGCTCCACCTATGAGGTCCGTGTGATGTCTGTACTTGGACAAGACGAAAGTGACTCCATCCAGGATACTGCAACCACTTGTAAGTTACCCATCATTCTAGAAAGAGTAATATAGGGAACCAGTGGTTAAAGATCAAGGCTGATAACTAAAGGATGTGCAGGGCTGATAGATTCATGAACTGTCACTGTTGTGTCTCGATGAGGTATTTAACCTCAGGATACTCCTGGAGGACTGAACTTGTCACAGGACTTGTTGTGCTTACTACTACTTTATGAATTTTAGCTTTGATTTTTTTTTTTTTTTTCAGCTTGATTTTCATTATAAGTAAAATCAAAGTAGTTGAATAAAGTTCAATTTTGATTTTACTTAAAGGGCTCATGAAATGGAGAATCAGAAAGTTCTTTATATTTACACATATGAGAGGTTGCTCTACAATAAAAATATACTGCAAGTTTCATAACTCAAAACTAAATCCACAGTTTCAAATATTAATTGTTCTTTTCTACCCTTCTGAAATGCCTGGATTTGAAATCGGAATAATTGTGACATCATAATTTCCCCTTTTTTTCAGTTTTTCACAAAATCTTGTATTGATCCGGCAGTCCCAAGCATTTTATCCTTTATATATTTATTTTTAATCATACTGTGTGTTTGTAATAAACATCAGACCAGCGTTTCGCACTATTAAAACACTAAGCATATCATTGTTTGAGTGTTGCTTATAAAATCAGTACATATCCACGCACACGCAGCGTCGTTTGCAATACTACAAGTAATAATTGTAGTTTTAAAACTATATACTGAAAACTAAGCAAGCAAAAGCAATTCCTCGCTAAAACAGAGTTGCAATCGTTATGGTTGCGATGTTTCAGTTTTTTACAGGAAGTGAAAATGAGAAAAAAACAATATAAAATTCTGAACCTGCATTTTAGGACCCCTTTAACATTAAAGTTACAGGATATTAAAGTTGTTGTATCTGTATTGCAGTTAGTTTATTTGAATGGCGTGGCATAACAACACTGGAAACATAGGCCTGCTGTACCTGTTTGCCAGTGTCAGACAAACAATGGCAGAGAGTTCAAAAATAATGCTTGCTATTCCATTTAAGGCAGTAACTCCACAGTAATTTTGATCGATCGTGTATCTCTCAGTGCCCGACCCACCGACAGACCTGAGGGCCATAAACATCACAGAGAGTAAAGCGCTGTTGCTGTGGAGACCCGCCTTGGCAACCGTCGACCACTATGTCATTGTGTATAGTTCTGAGGCAGGTGAGCTAAGTCTGCAACTGTTGCTACGTAATAGAGTTTAAATGTCCCATCTTAAATACTCTTGAGTATTGTTGTTGGACATGCAATGTAAGATGGGACATTTACTCACTGATACTACAATGTGCTTTATACCTTTACATCAGAAAAGTAAGAACTGACACACTATTCAACATTCCTGAAAATTGACACTCCTGTGTTTTTCCTCTGATAAGCACCTGGGTCTGGAATCAGCATCAGAGTGTCTGGCAACGCTGCAGAAGAGCAGCTGCAGACGCTGCAATCCTCCACACAGTACAGAGTGAGTGTTCACAGTCAGCTGGGAGACCTGAGCAGCTCCAGAGCCACCACAGCCTTCACAACATCCAGCGGTTAGCATCACTGTCTCCTGTTCACTTAGCAATCATTAGGTCAGCTGCCTTGAATACGAGCCAGAGGTTTTTTTCTTTTATTTTCTCAAGACTAACGTCACTTTTTACTCAATGGCTGTTAATTGTCTAGTGATTTTTAGCAGATGCATGAAGTCAGTTCTCAATTTCCCGTAGGTATAATAACTATGAACATGAAAATATCGAATTTTTTTATTAAAAAAGGTCACAAACTTCTTTTATGAAATGTTGGTTAAAAAAGCATGCTTGTGCTATTTTTTGTTTAAGGCAGAAGTTTTCCTAACTATGTTTCAGGTAAAAAAGCAGATGGTCCTCATGATCTCAGAGCCAGTCAGGTTACGCCTCGTACCGCGGTGCTGTCTTGGAAACCACCTGTATCAGCCGTCAACAGTTACAAGCTCAGCTATTACACGGATGGCCAGGACAGTAAGGTCAGACTTTCACATCAGCTGAACAAAGCTGAGCATCTGTCTACAGTATATCAGCAGTACAGTGTGAGTTATGACAGCAATGCCAGTTTGTCCCCATAAAACAGCCTCTTTTACCCACTGCTCTCATTACATTGAGCAGTAACTGTGTGAACCGACGGTCTGTAATAGTTATAAACAGTTGTTTCTTCTTCACAGGAAGTGATTCTTGGCCCCGCGGTCAAGGAGTTCAAGTTAACCAGACTGTACCCATCTTCAACATACACAGCGCACCTGCAGGCCGAGCGGGACGGTCTGTACATGAGCACCGTCTCTACAGACTTCACCACGGGTACTGATGACGCTCTGATGCCTCTGCAAACATCCAACAGCAGTTCATCACTTTTCCCTAGTGCATTTGTCAGATTAATCTCAAAAAGCCTGTCAAAAACATGTCAAGGACACATTTCAGCATAAAATCATCTGTCATCTGCTAAATGACTAAATGTGAAAAACCCAATGAGAACTAGATTTAGCAAATAAAACAAGGCCTATTTTAGAACCATTATGTTTTGCTTGGACATTATATTAATTCACATTTAAACACATTTCCCAAATTCTCAGTGCAGGACACATTTTAACAATAATATATTCAGATTTTTTATAGTAGCATCTGCTGTCAGTTTAGCATATTAACTAAGTGTGCTTAAATATTTGTGGAAAAATTAGATCTATGTGATTAGTCATAATAAACAAACAAACCAAAGATCAATGGCAAAAGTGTCTGAATTGATCTGAATAGACTATACTCATACATCATGACAGTGGCCTATCTGTAGCACTGCTTTTTGATTTATGCTGATTTAAATTTATGATCATGTTGTTGAGAATTTACTGTGAATTATTATTGGGCATAGTGAGAAAAAATGCACTGATCAGATGCACTGAATTCTTTTTTTTTTTTTTTTTTTGTGAAAAAAATCTAATTAATTTTTTAATTTTAATTTTTTTACTTTACCTTGAGGTGAAGTGTGAGCTGGACACATTTTCATGAGGTTCACCCTGTCGTTCTGCTCTCTCTCTCAGGGAACCTCCGGTTCTCCTTTCCCTCTGACTGTTCGCAGGAGAAGCAGAACGGAGCGCTGGAGTCTGGCATCGTGGAGGTGTTTCCACAGGGCCGCGAGGGAAAGCCGCTGATGCTTTACTGTGACATGGAGACTGATGGAGGAGGCTGGACGGTATGAATCAATGAGTCATATCACATCTTTACTAGTCCTTCATTCACCAGGCCAGGAGGAGATGAATTTGTGTTTGACTACTTATTATAGAAAGATTTCTATTTCCACACACACAGATACTAATGTCAAAAATAACCACATTTGATTTGAAGCATCACTCGTGTGTAGCAAAAATGACTGTGGTGTGGGATGAGTTGGTTGATAGCAGTTTGTTCAGATCTCTAAACATCAGTAGGAGCAACAGTAATAATGATGTTTGCTTAAACATTAGTAACATCTAATAATATTTCACAATATTCCATAAAGAGATGTTAGTTAAGCATTCCCTGTTGAAGTGGCATCATCTCTCTGTGTGTGTGTCCAGGTTTTTCAGCGAAGAAAGGATGGGAAGACAAACTTCTTCAGGAGCTGGCGTGAATACAGCAATGGATTTGGAGCGCTGGATGGGGAATTCTGGCTCGGTGAGAAACGCAGTTTTCACACTGTTAGTTTCCTCTGTTAAGTCCCTATGTCATCGTGCAGGACCACACTTCTGCTGATGCAAAGGGAGTGTGTCATTTCTCTGAAACAGCACAAACACAGGAAAAGCAGTGGACACTGACTGTATTATTACAATCCAGTCATCTCCCACTGTTTTACAGTGAAGACATTTGTGTAACAGTTACACAGTCAAGTGTGAAACAGTCGAGAAGATTTGTGGTGCCCTCTAGAGGATGACATGATGTCTTCTCCCTGCTTTAGGAAATGAGCAGCTTCATAACTTCACTAAGATGAGTCCAATGAGCCTGAGAGTAGACCTCAGAGCAGGAGACGAGTCGGTTTACGCACACTATTCCTCGTTCTCTGTCGACAGTGTGAAAAAACACTACACCGTCAGAGTGTCTGGATATTCTGGCACAGCCGGTGAGTCCATCATGAACAGCTTCTACACGTGCATGTAGGCAGGATGAGGCTGTACACCTGTAAAACTCATTTTCTTGTACAGGTGACTCACTGACGTACCATAACGGACGGCCGTTCTCCACGCGGGACAGAGACCCTCAGCCATTCATCACGCGCTGTGCCATGTCCTATAGAGGCGGCTGGTGGTATAAGAACTGCCATGAGGCCAATCTTAACGGCCTCTATAACACAGACACCAACCACCAGGTAAAGCAGCTGACTTCACACAATACATAAAGCCATATATATATATATATATATATACACACACACACATGTAGATATATATCTTCAAGTATCAAGTCCATTGGTCGGCACCAGTTGTAAGGTCTGTGTTTGGTTTCTCTCAGGGAGTGATCTGGACCAAGTGGAAAGGCAAGGATTTCTCCATTCCCTTCACTGAGATGAAATTCCGCCCAGCCTCATTCAGGCCCTGAACATGAGGAGAAACGCATTATTGCAGGAGAGCTGGGACGCCCTCCCGTTATGGACATAAACCTAAACACACCATCATTGAAAAGCAAGTATCATTACTGCACGTATAACCACACAATCAATCTACATAATTACATCTACACACATACTCCAATTGTAATATATCAAGGCCAAAAAGGCTGTTCATCTGTAGTCTATATGTAGGATTGTACAGTGTTTGGATTCTCTGTGCTCTGTGCATTGGGATGCCCCACAGCAGCTGGAGGAAATATTATGCACTGCCTTCTTCTCTATGATGAAGCTGTGGACTAGGTGTCACGCATATATCAGCTTGAACTACCAAGAGTCTGATGTTTGTATTCATATTGTTTTGTATGTACCATATTTCAGTGTCTTACAGAAAGATTTCATAAAATAAAAAAGCTGTAAGTTGGTATATGTTAGTTTTTTTTTACATTCTATGGTTCTATAAAAAATATATATATTTGATATTAAAAAACATGTTAACGATCATTTTGGGTAAGTTTTTTTTTCTCGCATACCAAACTATCTAGCTTTGTAGGCAATAAAAGAAAATAGTGTTGCAAAAGTGTTTAGAAACACAATCAGTGTAATGTTGTACTCCATTGTTACATATTAATGGGGCAGATACAGACAAGTGCCATTTGCACACTTTACTTGAAAAATGGACAGCACACATGACTCCATCACATTACTTAAATAATACCACCTATATACAGAAACCCAGAGGTACCAAATACAATGCACACGTTCATCAATAACACCACATTTTCCCTATACACCACATTACCTCCACCCTTATATTAAATATCTTAAACACCGCATTACATCAGTATTAAAACAAATCATCTATAAGCGTCCTTCAGTCATTTTCAGTCTTTAAAATGCTGTGGTAATTTAATGGTCTGTTTTGAGCGCCTCAAGTCCACTGGACATGAAGCACGGCTCTCAAGTACCACAGGCTCACGTGATGTGTCTATTTGTATATCAGCTGGCATCAGATCTCGATCACTAGTCTTAGCAAGTGGAATGGTCCGTTTTTCTGTGACTTTCTTGGTCACCTGGAGCATCTGAAGAGGAGTATTGTGATTTTAATTGCTCACTATGCTGTCTGAACACAGGGTCTGATGCTTGGTCCTTTACCTCATTTGATACCAGCCCTGTCTGTTGCATTACCACAACTGGCAACCACTTTGGATCTCTTCTTTCTGTCCTACACAGGGACACTGGTTCATCCACTTTGAATGATCCCCCTGTTGCTCAGTGATCATGCCGGTCTTTTTGCAAATACTGCTTCCTGTGAACAGTCTCTTGAATGTTAGGTTTAAGGAAGTCCAGTCTGGTATAAATATGCTTATTCAAGAATAAATCAGCTGGTGACTGGCCTGTGGTGCTGAAATTCCTGTGATGTAAATGTGGTTGCTTGAGCTGTCACGATTTGTTCAGGTAATCTACAGTATATGCAGAAAACAATGTCTTCAACCTGGTAATGGTTGCTTGAGTAGTAATTTGCGACATACAAAAGACTTCTTGCTATTTTGAATGGGCATCCACCAGTATCATAAACATATTATTAAGAAATGGCCCTGAAAAATCTATACACAACCTGTTCAAACACTCTCATCCAAGTCAATCTTTGGCCACCACACATGTTTGCAAGCTAAGGCTTTCATTTTAACAATACCAAGATGACCAACTTTATTTATATATATATATATATATACACACACACACACACACACACACACACAATACAGATTGTGTCAAAGCAGCTTTACAGTGTCAAACAGTAAATAGTTTGTAAATAATGCAAGAGGACAATAACATACAGTAAATCTTTCAGCTAAAGTCAGTTCATTGATGATTCAGTGATGTCAGCATCCAGTTCAGCTGCATTTGGATCATCTCGCCTTTGTCCCTGATTTTTCCACCAAGTGTAACACCAGTAGTGTCATTTTACAGCTCAAATCAGTTCAGTGTTGAATCAGTTTAGCTTAATAACTGTAAAGTTCATCAATTGTGCATACACACTACATGTTTCTAGCATTTGTAAAACCACATCTTTCCATCTCAAAAATATATCTAAATTACGACCTATGCTCTCAATGTCAAATGCAGAAATGTTAATTCATGTCGCTAATATTAGTCTGTTTCTCTCTTATTCCGAGGTCACCGTAGCCACCAGATCCAGTCTGTATCCAGACCAGATGGTGGATCAGCACCTAGTCCTCTCTAGCCCTGAATGTCAGCAGAGACCATGTCAACTAGACGAGCCCTAGAGACAGCTCGACGAAGAGCTCATCACCTCGACGGCCATCGGCACAAGACCACGGGAACCAGATGAGTCCTCTGCTCAATCTGACTTGTGTTGCAGCCCGGAATTAAACCACATCATGCTGGTTTCGTCTGGCCAAAGGAGAACTGGTCCCCAAGGTTTTTTCTCCATTCTGTCACCGATGGAGTTTTGGTTCCTTGCCACTGTTGCCTTTGGCTTGCTTAGTTGGGGACACAATTTCTGGCAATATTGTTGACTTGACTGCACAAACACTATTTGAAGAGAACTGAACTGAGCTGGATGATGACATCATTGAATCAACAATGAACTGACTTTAACTGATAAACTTGCATTATCAGCACACATTTTCCTTTTTAACACTGTAAAGCTGCTTTGACATAATATGTATTGTATAAAGCACTGTATCAAGTAAATAAAGGTGACTTGACTTGAGAGAGTGCATACAAATTACTGACCCGTTTGGCTGAAGCCAAGGCCAGGAGCAACACTAGAAGAGCAGATCCAGAATGGGAGCTCTCCATGGAGCTAGAGGCCTTGTCTCAACAACCTTCTGAGCCACTGGAAAATATATCCTTCAAGCTTATGTCTTTGCATTATTGACACACTATTTTCCTAATTAATATTGTACAGTTGCTTTGACACAATCTGTATTGTTAAAAGCGCTATAACGGCTGGATGGGTTTTTCTCTGTCTAGCAAAAAAACAGCATTACTTGTGATGTGGACAAAGTCCTCAGGCCGGACTCAAGCACAAAGACATGATGCTGAGACAGAATGAAGCTCTCATTGACTCTGAACTTACGGTATTTGAGTGTACTCTAACATGCTATTCATTTAGAGTTTTATTTGAGCTTTTTGGCCTTTACAGTTGGACTGCAGTATTTTTGCAGTATCCAAGTGCTGAATATATACAAACATTCAGTACTATTCAATATTCAGCACAATACTATTCTTGCAGTACATACAGTAGGCCTATACAATATATCCACCTTACTCAGTAACAATTACTTTACTTTTTTACAGAATTGCTAAATTGTTTACTCAATACAATATATTTTTTTTCTGTAATGTTCTGGATGCTGTGTTCTCCATTCTTCTCTGTAGTGTCTAATGAATGCTCTGTAGTGTTTTCTTTATTGACTCGTGTGCGTGTGTGTATGGTATGTGTGTGTGATCTGAGAGCACTGTTTGATTTTGAGTGAAAGTGAAATGGTTTTGCAGTGATTGTTTGATTTTGATGAAGAGTCAGAGGTTTCATGAATTTAGTTTGAGTATTTGGATTTGTGTTTAAGGTTTTGAGAAAATGAGTGATGGTTTCAAGAAATGTGTTTTAGCAATTCAGAAAAACTGTAAAATATAAAACACCTCAGCCTGGTGAGCAGAAGAAACCTCTTTCAGAAACATTACCCCACACTTTTGAATGGTAGGTTGCCATTTAAAGGTGAAGTGTGTAATTTAATATGATGAAATACTAATAAGAAAAAAATGTTTAACTGCATTAATGATTGTCTTGAAATCCATAATTCATCATTTGCAGTAGACTGGATTGATTAAACCTGAGATAAGCTTTGAAGCCTTTATCACCTCCTGCCAATAGTTCTGTTAACCATTACGATAGAGTGAACAGATCAACAAAAGCCAACTATATGTATAATGCTTATATATTCATGGTTATACCTTATTACAGAACACACTCGGAAATGTGAGGGAATAACTAGGCCATTATTATAATGTAAGGCAATTATTACTAAATGACTCATGAGATTGTGCAGTTCATTTTAATGTGTATTTTAAGTAATTAGTCAGGCAGATTAATGTTATTTCCAGAATCTAAGTACAGACTTGCATTTCAGCAATTTTGTCCATTTACTTTCCTTAAATTGAATTACTGTATGTATATAAGCAACATAATGGTAATTGGCCACTCTGATTTCTTAACATTTGTATTAAATCCAGCCATTGAAAAATGATCGGTCAGATGAACCGGTCAATGACCAATATATTCATATTTACAATATTCTGATCATTTCTGGCCGCCATTTCTGTAACCCTACTATATTGCTTGTTAACGTTGATCTATTCAGGTGAAATAAAATACACAACTGGTCATTTTTGGAGAAACAATCAAGCTCTGCTAACACTCTAGAATCTACTCCAACACTGCCTTTGGTCAAACCGTCCCCAACACACACACACACACACACACACACACACACACACAGCTATGCTCTGTAGTGTTTTCTTTATTGACTCGTGTGCGTGTGTGTATGGTATGTGTGTGTGATCTGAGAGCACTGTTTGATTTTGAGTGAAAGTGAAATGGTTTTGCAGTGATTGTTTGATTTTGATGAAGAGTCAGAGGTTTCATGAATTTAGTTTGAGTATTTGGATTTGTGTTTAAGGTTTTGAGAAAATGAGTGATGGCTTCAAGAAATGTGTTTTAGCAATTCAGAAAAACTAATATAAAATGGGACTGAATTAGTTTACGTACTTGCAAAGTTTGGAGTTTGAAAGTTACTGATAGTTAGTAGAATGACTAAACTGGACTCAAAATAAAGTGTTGCTCGTTGCAGAATTAGTCACACTGCAGAAGACATTTCAAATATGCATAAATATGCATTTGTATCTGACAATCCTCCACAAACAATACACCACACTTTATAAACTTACAATTAACTTAGACTCACCATGGAAAACACGAGAACACATTCACGATGTAGCAGCTCTCTAGTATCAGGGACAGTCCACCAAAAATGAAAATTCTATCATTATTTTATCAAATCTGCTCCTGCTCCTGGAGGCTCCATTCCTGCAGAGTTTATTCCAGCTGCCTGGAGGTTTGCAGTGATCCTGAAGACCTCGAGCAGCTGCTTCAGGTGTGCTAGATGTGGACTTAAACACTACAGGAAACTGACCCCCACATTTGCCCTATGAAAACAGATGAATATTTTATAATAAAACTGGGGGTAAACTTTATTAGAAGTGAAGGGCATGTCCCGTCTCGTATTCTACACGCATGGATCCCAACACTTTACCATCAGCTTTTCTGTTCAGGTCACTTCTATCATCCCCTACAAATTGGGACACCCTCCCCAGGGTTTTTATCTTATATG